TTCCTGTGGGGAGAGGAGAGGGAGTCAGGGAAGAGGGGAAAAGGAGGAATGGAAGAGCAGCAGGAGATGTTCCAAATGTTCCAGGAGATGTTCCAGGGAACCCTGACCCCTGGCCCTAACCCCGACCCCAACCCCAAACCCCTGACTGTTCCCTGGGAGCAGAGCCTGACCCCCTCCTCTCCCTGCTGTCCCCTCCTGTCAGGGACCTCAGAAGGTCCTTCCTGATCCCTCTTTCCTCCAGGATCAACATTCCCACTCCCTCAGGAAATCCAAACCCTTCCCTGCCCCTTGTGCAGACCCAGAAGGTCTCTCCTGATCCCTATTTTTTTCCAGAATCAGCATTCCCAGCTCCTGAAGCTCCAAACCTTTCCCTGTCCCTTGGGATCAGAGCCTGATGTCCCTTCCTGTCATGGACCTCAGAAGGTCCCTTTTTTTTTCCAGGATCAACATTCCCAGCTCCTGGAGCTCCAAACCTTTCCCTGTCTCTTGTGCAGACCCAGAAGGTCCCTCCTGATCCCTCTTTTCCCCAGGATCAACATTCCCACTCCCTCAGCCGCTCCTGGAGCTCCGAACCCTTTCCCTGGCCACGCTCCAGCCCCTCCTTGGAGTGGCCGTGGCACAGAGGGACGATCCCTGATCCCACGCAATTCCCGATCCGATGGATCCCATGGAATGATCTCATTGCCTGGGAATGCCCTGGGATCCTCACCACTTCATGAGGAACATCAGCTCCCCGCTGGAGTCCGTGGCTCCGATGATTCGCTCCGGCTCGAAGCCTCGGGCGAAGCCGCGCGGTTTCTCCGACTGGGAAAAAGGGGGGGAAAAAAGAAAAAAAAAAAAGAAAAAAAATATAAAAAAAGGGGAAAATTCCACCTGTGAATTCCCAAAGTGACATTCCCGGCTCTGGGAGGGGCAGGGAGGATCGTCAGGCTGGATTTGCAGGGATGTGGGGATGCTGTGAGGGATCTGGGAGAGCTGGAGAGGGATTGGGATAAGGGGTGGAGGGACAGGGAATTGGTTAAACTGGGATAGGGCAGGGAACAGACTGGGAAACCAGACTGGGAAATCAGACTGGGATCAAACTGGGAACAGACTGGGAATGGATTGGGAAACCAGACTGGGATCAAACTGGGAACAGACTGGGAACTGGACTAGGAAATGGAAAACAGACTGGAACCAGACCAGGAGCCAGACTGGAAGCCAAACTGGAAAACCAGACTGGAAACAGACTGGGAATCAAACTGGGAACATGGATTTTTCCCATCCAGGATATTCTCTCCCATTGCCCTGCCTGGGTTGGGAAATCCTTGGGAACACTGGGATTTTCCCACCCAGTATCTTCTCTCCCTGCCCTGCTGGAATTCCTTGGGAACACCAGGATTTTCCCTGGGATGGGAATTCCTTGGGAACACTGGGATTTTCCAGGATATTCTCTCCCTGCCCTGCTGCAATTCCTTGGGAACACCGGGATTTTCCCACTTTTCTCTCCCTGGCAAGCCGAGCTCAGCCAGCACCTCCATCCTCTTTCCCATTCCTCGGAAAAAAAAAACCAAAAAAACCCTGGGAATGGCTTTTCCAGGGACAGGGATCCCTGCATCCCAGCCTCACCTCTTCCTTCTTTTTCTTTGGCTTGCTCTCCTCCCCCTTGTCCTCCGTGTCTGACTCTGCCTTGCGCTTGCTGCCCTCGGATTTCTCGCTCTCGTGGGCGGTTTTTTGGGATTGCAGGAATTCCGCGATCAGATCCGGGCAGTCCAGGTTCTCCTCAGGCTCCCAGGTGTTGTCCTCGCTGCCAGCAAACACAAATCCCTCGTTTTTGGGTTTTTTTTCCCAAAATTTCAACCCCCTCCCCTCTCAAAAAAACCCCAAAAAACCGGATGTGACATCACCGGGATGCTGGGGACGCAGAATTTGGGATTTTTGGGATGATCCGGGTGGGAATGTTGGGAGATTCCCAGATGCCATTCCCAGATCCCGACCTCTCCATGCTCATTCCCTTGCTGGCTCATGGGATGTTTTATCCAGCTCCTCATCCCAGAGTTTTTCCTCAGCTTCCAGAGCTGTTTAGGGAATCAAGAAATTCCTGAAAATCCATCCAGTGCTGGCTGGGAAAACTCTGGATTCAGAGCTGGGAGAACCCTGGAGGAAATTCCCTTCACAGCAGAGAATTCCCTGGATCCCACATTGGCTCTAAGAGGGGAAATCCCTCCAGGATCTGTTTCCAGGTTGGAATGGGATTTCCCACCCTGGAACACTGGGACTTTCCAAGATTTTCTCTCCCTCCCTGTCTGGGATGGGAAATCCTTGGGAAAAGTGGGATTTTCCTTGGGAAAAGTGGGATTTTCCCATCCAGGTTCTACTCTCCCTGTTCTGCTGGAGTTCTTTGGGAATAGTGGGATTTTCCTTTGCACCACTGGGATTTTCCAGGATTTTCCCTCCTTCCCTGCCTGGGATGGGAAATCCTTAGGAACACTGGGATTTTCCCATTTTTCTTTCCCTTCCCTGATGGAGCTCCTTAGGAACACTGGGATTTTCCTTGGGAACACTGAGATTTCCTTAGGAACACTGGGATTTCCTTAGGAACACTGGGATTTCCTTGGGAACACTGGGATTTTCCTTAGGAACACTGAGATTTCCTTGGAAACACTGGGATTTTCCCATTTTTCTTTCCCTTCCCTGATGGAGTTCCTTAGGAACACTGGGATTTCCTTAGGAACACTGAGATTTCCTTAGGAACACTGGGATTTCCTTGGGAACACTGGGATTTTCCTTAGGAACACTGAGATTTCCTTAGGAACACTGGGATTTCCTTGGGAACACTGGGATTTTCCTTGAGAACACTGGGATTTTCCTTGATAACACTAGGATTTTCCTTAGGAACACTGGGATTTTCCTTAGGAACACTGAGATTTCCTTAGGAACACCAGGATTTTCCTTAGGAACACTGAGATTTCCTTGGAAACACTGGGATTTTCCCATTTTTCTTTCCCTTCCCTGATGGAGCTCCTTAGGAACACTGGGATCTTCCTTGGGAACACTGGGATTTTCCTTAGGAACACCAGGATTTTCCTTAGGAACACTGGGATTTTCCTTAGGAACACCAGGATTTTCCTTAGGAACACTGAGATTTCCTTGGGAACACTGGGATTTTCCCATTTTTCTTTCCCTTCCCTGATGGAGGAACTCCTTAGGAACACTGGGATCTTCCTTGAGAACACCAGGATTTTCCCATTTTTCTTTCTCTTCCCTAATGGAGTTCCTTAGGAACACCAGGATTTTCCTTAGGAACACCACGATTTTTCCCATTTTCCCCTCCGTCCCCAGGACCAGAACCCCTCAGGAACCCCGGGATTTTTTCCCCCCCCCCCCCCACTCCCATTTCCCTGCTGGAAAAGCCCCAGATCCAGGCAGGAACGACTCACTCGGAGAAGCCCTTCCACTTGAGCAGATATTCCACTTTTCCCTTCACCACGCGCCGATCCAGGACTTTTTCCACCACGTATTCCTCCTCCTCCTCCTCCAGCACCTCTTCCACCTTTTTCTTGTTCTGCTTTTTTCCCATTGTGCTGGCCAGCTTCAACGCTTTCCCGGGCTGCTGCAGAGGGGAAAAACGGGAGGAGGGGGAAAACAAAAAAAACAAAAAAAACAAAAAAAAAAAATCTGGGATCAGGTGGGAACATCCTGGGAATTCCCAGAGAAATCCCGCTGGATTTACGCCACGGTTTGGACACAAAGATTTGGATTTTTTACTCTTTAATTGCAGCAATTCCAGGAGATTTTTATTTTTTTTTTTTCTTAAAGTTTCTTCGGGTTGGGTTTTTTTTTTTCAGCCTTTCTCAATTTTTTTCCAGCTTTTCCCAAATTTTTCCAGCCCCATTCCTGAGCTCCCTCAGAGCTGCCCTTCAGTGCTAGGGAAAAGTGGGATTTTCCCATTTTTCCAGGATTTTTTCTCCCTGCCTTCCCTGGGATTGAAAAACCACAGAAACATTGGGATTTTTCCAGGATTTTCTCTCCCTGTCTTGCCTGGGATGGGAAGACCTCAGGAAAACTGTGCTTTTCCCTGTGATTTTCCCATTTTTCCAGGATTTTCTCTCCTTGCTTTGCCTGGGATGGGAAAAATTCAGGAAAACTGGGATTTCCCCTGTGATTTTCTCATTTTCCCAGGGTTTTCTCTCCCTGTCTGGCTTGGGATGGGAAATCCTCGGGAAAAGTGGGATTTCTATGAACTCCAGGGGTTTATATGAATTTAAATTCCATCAGCTGTTATTCCCAATTAAATCCAGGTCACATTCCCAGATCCTCCCACCTCTCCATGATCATTCCCATTCAAAACCCTGGATTCAGAGCTGGGAAAAATCTTGGATTCCGAGCCGGGAATATTCCAGATTCAGAACCAGGAAATCCCTGGATTCCAAGCTGGAAAAACTCTGGATCCAGAGATGGGAAAACCCTGGATTCAGAGCCTTTTGGGGTTCATTTTTGGGATCCATTTTTCCCAGATTCCCACAAGGAATTCCCAAGGGATGGAGGGGCCACATTCCAAGCCCATTCCCAGGTTTTTTTTGGGCATTTCCCAGAGCTGGAGCAGCCCCAGGTGAATTCCATGGATTCCAAGATTTGGAGCCTCACCCTCCCCTCTCAATTTCCAGAGGAATTTTGGGATTTATCCCTAATTTTTCTCCCCCCACATTTCCAGCCTCTTTCACAGAATATCCTGGAATTATCCTGCCAAATTCCCACTTTTTTTTTTTTTCTCCTGGGATCCCTCAGTTTTATAGGAACACACGGAGCTGCTTCCAAACCCCATCCACATTCCAGGGATTTTCCAGCCAAAATTCCCCCATGGGACACACAGGGAAGATTCCTGAGATAACCCAAATCCATTCCCAGCTCCAAATCCACTTTTTCCTGGGGAAAAAAAAAAACTTTCCCAGGAAAAACATTTCCAAAAACCTTTTCCAGCTCCCATTCCCAGAGTTTTGGCTCCCAAAATTCCAGCGAAATTCCCGCAGAGCTGCTCCTGCTGCAGCTCCTCTTTCCCTTTCCCGGCACATTCCCGATCCCAGCTCCGCCCCAAATTCCCGAATTCCCCTCCCAAATCCGCATTCCCGGGATTTTTCCCGTTTCCCGCCAAAAGTTGTCGCTTGTCCCTCCCCGATCCCGATCCTTTCCCGGATTCCCGCTTTTCCAGGGAGATCCCCTTCCCCTCATTCCAATGGGGTTTTGAATCCCCCAAAATTCCACATTTTTCTCTCGCAAATCCCACTTTTCCTTCCCCCCAAATCACATTTTCCCCTCACAAAACCCCTTCTTCTCGCCCCCAAATCCCCTTTTCTCCCTCGCAAATTCCACTTTTTTTTTTTCCCCCTCCAAACACACTTCCACCCTGCAGTTTCCCATTTTCCCAGATTCCCAACGCCTCTCTCTCTCTCCATGGGATCTCCCCAGCCCCAAATCTCCAGAACCCCAAAACTCCTGGACCCCAAAATTCCTGGACCCCAAAATTCCTGGATCCCAAAATTCCCCTTTCCCCAGTACAGCTCTTTTTGGGGGGCACCCCCAGAGCCCCTCTCCCAACATTCCTGACATCCAATCCCACTGATCCCCCTTTTCCAGTACCCCAAATCCATCCCTGCACTGACCCCATCCCTAAATCCCTACACTAACCCCATCCCTAAATTCCTACACTGACCCCAAACCCATCCTTACACTGACCACATCCCTAAATCCCTGCACTGATCCCATCCCTAAATCTCTGCACTGACCCCATCCCCAAATCCATCCCTGTACTGAACCCAACCCCAAATCCATCCTTACACTAACTCCATCCCTAAATCCCTGCACTGACCC